TGCCATGATCTGATGCTTACGTTGTCCCAGACCCAGCCAGCACGAGTGACCTTTTGACGTGTCCCCCTCGAATTCTGAGCACTTGCTGATACAAGATACTCGCTCACTCTCCCCCCAACCCCGTCCTGGAGGCACGTTTCTCGGAGCAACAGAGGACGGAACTAAGAAACCAAGATCTGGTGCTGAGTGTGCCCGCCGCTGCTGGGGCGTCGCTGCTACCAGGAAAGCCACATAATACACGCGCCCCCATCCGCGTGTCCGAGTACGTGTGCTTCTGCATCCGTCTGCATCGGTGTGCGAGTGCACGCGCTCGTTTGTGGAACGAAATCGTGAGCTCAAGCGGGTACCTCGGACTGTAACCCAGGGTCACAGGGTTTGTCTCAACCTCCCTCCCCGTTGTCCCTCGATCACGCGGCCTTGCTCTGTGCGCAGCGGAGGCTTGGGCGTCACCAGCCTGAGGGAGGCCCTCGTCTGGCTGAGCCAAGGGCAGACGGACTCACCAGGCGGGGGCCCGGTGCTGAGCCAGACGGTCTTCTGGAAGGTACAAGGGAGGCAGAAGCAATATCCCCAGGAAGCTCTGGGGTGGGAGCAAAACCTTAAGATTTTCTGGATGGAAGGAGTGGCCAAAAAAGACGCTGCTGTCCGGCTCTGTGGAGAGGCCTCAAGGGACACAGGGTCGCTGGGAAAGGGCAAACGTGTCCCCAAGCAGCTGGGAGGGGGCTCCTCACACACTGCTGTCCCCCAAGAGAGGCCGCCCTCCGTTCAAGGCACGAGTGACCCTAGGTACGGCCTCCTCAGACCTGCTTATGAATAACCAGCTAATACACTTCTGGCTGTTCTATTTCTAGGGATCCTGCTTCCTTTTTTTTTTAAGGACTTATTTTTAATTTCATTTAATTTTTTTTTAAAGATTTTTATTTATTTATTTGAGAGAGAGAATGAGATAGAGAGAGAGCACATGAGTGGGGGGAGGGTCAGAAGGAGAAGCAGACTCCCCGCCGAGCAGGGGGCCCGATGCGGGACTCGATCCCGGGACTCCGGGATCATGACCTGAGCCGAAGGCAGTGGCTTAACCCACTGAGCCACCCAGGCGCCCCTTCATTTAATTTTTTAAGTACACTCTACGACCAGTGTGGAGCCCAGTGTAGGGCTTGAACTCATGACCCTGAGATGAAGATCTGAGCTGAAATCAAGAGTCAGATGCTTAACCCACTGAGCCACCCAGGCGCCCCAATTCTTATTCTATTTTTTTTTAAGTAGGCTCCAGGGCCAACGCGCATGGGGCTTGAACTCACAGCTCCGAGACCAAGAGTCACATGCTCGACCAAGACAGCCAGGTGCCCTGGGATCTTGTTCAAGGTTGCTCTGTTGAGGGTTTCATCTCTCTCATCCAACAAACATAATTTCTCCCAAAGACAAAAGTATTTCTAGGTTTGATGCGCGTGTGCTCTCAATTCAACACCGCGTCTTTACAGAACAGGCAGCCTGTGGGAAACGTCTGCACGCAACCAGGACTAATACCAGCAAGGAAGGGCAAGGCCGCTCTGGAGCTCGTGGTCTGCACACTGGTGGCCGGGAAGCTGGAGTGAAGCCGCTCACCATCACCAAGTGCTGGGCAGTGGAGGCTGGAGTGTTCCCAGGAGGGACATACACCTCTCTTGGGGATCCCAAGGCCGCGTGGCAGTGCCGGTGAGCACAGGATACAGGGGGCTTGACGAGCGTGAGTGAAGCTGGGTACCAGCCTCTGGGAGTGCCCCAGAGGTGTATTTTAAGGCCAAGAGCACCTACAGATCCTGGAGAGCTAGTGCATTGATTGATAAGCCCCAAGACCAGAAACTGTGCCTGGAACTCAACCCCCGAGCGAGAATTGATTTTCCACCTCACAGGAGACAAAAATCTCCAAAATGACAGCAGGTGTGGGCCTTCTGCCAGGCCCGGATGAGGCCATCTCTTTAGCTTGTGCACGAACAACAAACCAAGATGTCACTGGAGGTTCTGACGCACGCCAGCTGGAAATCGTGACCAGAGCGTCACGCTGAGATGCATCTGCACATGGGGTGCCGGCCGGGAGTCTGGGTGCCAGCGCCCGCGATGGGGGCACCCCTCAACACCAGGGCATCGTGTCTGCAGCTCATCCTCAAATGGTTCTGGGGGAAGAAAAAGGAGAGAGAGAGAAAAGAAATGTGCTAAAATATTGACATGTAGGGGATGTGGCTCAAGAGTGCTACACTTGAACAATACTGTTTCAATTTTAGGCTTAAAAGGAACAATAACGGGCAGGGGGAGGTACCGGAGCTGGGAGAAGGGCTGGTCATCTGAGGCCACGGACCCCAGTCCCTCACGTGTTTCCCTAGCCCTGGCAAGGCCCGCCGCCATCTGCGCCTCCTGCCCGGCGCCAGCTGGTCAGTGGCTGCAGGAAGCAGCGTGCTTTTGCCCCAGCCTCGGCCGGACCAGCTGCTCAGGGGGATTCTAGTCGCGCCCAGGCCTCCTCCGCAACAGGCGGCCTCACTCGGGCCCTGGAGCAGATGCAGCCTTTGGTGGAAAGCCCCATCTTCTCTCCACCCCACCAGAAGCTCCTGTCTCTCGTCCACGCTCCCTGCCCACCTGCCAGGGCCATGCCCTTCCCTCTGTGCCCATCTCCTGGCCACTGCAGGCCCTCACTGAATGACCACTCCCCTCCCTGCTCCCCAGCCTCGGAGCTGGCTCAGGCCTCTGGAAGGCAGGCAGACGCCTCCCTTTGCTGGGTGCCGTCCTTCCCCACCCACATTCACTCCGTAGCACTGGGACATCTGGCTTCCACACTCCCCCCAAATGGCAGCGTAAGAGAGAGAATTTAGATCCGTGACGTGAGCAGGGATCTCTGCTCCACCTCTTAGAGCTGCGTGATTTTTGCCCATGTCCGAGACCTGCGGGCAGTGGACATGCAGGCTCAGTATGAACTGTAACACTGACTCCTCGGTCTTTGTCCCCCCATCTTGTCTGCGTGTCCCTGATCCCTCTACACTGCCTCCCGGGAACTAAGGTCAGAACCACCCTGTCTGCCTGTGGTTCCCAACCCTGCTGCCCCTCTCCTCGACTTAGCTTGTCTGGGTCCCACAGCTGCCTACATGCCTCCCCTTGGGCAGCCAGCCAGCTCCTCAAATGTAACACACTGCCTGACACTTGGACCCGCTCTCATCTGTGCTGGATTTGCTAAAAGGCAGGTGCTTAAGGCCACTGAGAAGTAATAAACTTCTGGGAAAAGAATGTGATATTCCAAAAATGCACCAAAGCTCGACCCATTGTGCACCATTCTCTGTGAGTTGCATGGGGGAGGAGCACTGAACATCGGCAGGCTGGGACCCAGGAGGTCTCTGCTCAATGCTCCCTATCATCTCCAGAGCTGGTCCTCCCCAGCAGCCTTGGGCACTCTAACATTAACGTGGACTCCTCTTGCCTGCCCCCACATCCGGTTTTTAAATCTTGATGCTTCTCTTGCCCCAAAGGCCCCACAGCTCCCTCCCTCTCCACCAGCCACATCCAGTCCCTGCTTGCTTGGGTCTGCAACACAGCTGTTGCCTCCTAATGGACCCCGCCAGGCTGTCCTGTGCCATGAGTCACCTCCTCCAACTACAGAGCAGACATACATGTCACACTCCTGCTCACACAGCTCTGCCTCCCCCCTCCAAGTCCAAGCCCCTGCCTAGAGGTCAAGCCCTCTCGCCGTGATGTTCACCACCCCCTCCCCGCAGACCCTGGGCTCCAGCCAAACCAGACTTCTTGCCATCCGGGAACATATGTTCCCTCTGCCCAAAATAATCTACATCCATCTCCACCTGTCAAGATCTGTCTTTGTTCAATAAATAGTACCGGGACAATTGGCCATTTGAAGGAATTTTTTTAGATTCTCTGCTTCACAGTATGCACCAAAATATGTTACAAAAGAGAATTAAGCGTAAAACATGATGTAACCACGTATGTTTAAGAAAACAAACTGTAAAAAGTCTGAAAAATATGTGACCATCAAATACATGAAAAGGGAGAAGAGCCTAGGCTCAAACCAAAGCCCGAGATCTGACTCATCAGGCAGAACCGGGCTGGTCAGAGGCAGGCTGATGAGCGAGGAGCAGAGGGGCGGCGAGTTCTCCCCGAGCTGAGCCGGGCCGCGGGGGCGGGCGGCCCGCGGGACCTCAAGGAGGAGCCGCGGGGCACCTTTCACGGAGGCCAAACGGGGTGCGGCGCCCGCAGAGGCCCACGTCCTCCCCGGGCCGAGGCTTTCCGCCGGACCGGCCCGCGCTCCGAGATTGGCGGACGGAAGCAGCACCGCCAGCCCCCCGACCCATCCCGCCCCCCTCCTCCCCTCCTCCCCTCCGGCCCGCGGCGATGACGTCACCGCGCCCACGTGACGCGGAGCGCCGGCCGCTCCCGGGCCGTTGCCCAGCAACGCTACCGGATCAGCTCTGTTGTGAGCGCGGATTACCCAGGCATCCTCCCTCTTTTAATGCCTCTCCATTTAGAAGTAACCACAATCATAACCGCTTTTCCTACAAGGAAGTGCACTCATCTCGACGACTCTGGCACCTGGGAGACACGCGACCGCAAACGGGACGCACACCGTCTCCGCCCCGCGCCCTCCCGCGCCCTTCCCGTCCCCAGATGCCCTCCCCTTCCCAGGGCGCCGCGCGCCGCGCGCCGTGCGCCGCGACGTCACTGTTCTGCGCGCGGCCGCCGTCGCCGCCGCGGCGCGCGGCGCTTCCGGCCGCGAGGGCGTGTGGGCGGGGCGGGTGGCGTCAGGGGGCGCGCGCCGGAAGCTGGCGGGAGCCGGGCGGAAGTGGCGGGGCGGAGCGCGGGGCGATGGGGGGCGGCGGCGGCGGCGGAGGCCGGCGATGAGCGGCGGGAGCGCGTGAGCGGCCGGCGGGCGAGGCTGGGGGCCCCGGAGAGCGAGCCGCAGGGCGGAGGGCGGGCGCGAGCGCGGCGGGCGGCGGCGGCCGAAGCGCGGCGGCGGCGGCGGCGGCCGAGAAGATGGCGGACGGCGACAGCGGCAGCGAACGCGGCGGCGGCGGGCCCGGCGGCTTCCAGCCCGCGGTCCGCGGAGGCGAGCAGGAGACGCAGGAGCTGGCCTCGAAGCGGCTGGACATCCAGAACAAGCGCTTTTACCTGGACGTGAAGCAGAACGCTAAGGGCCGCTTCCTGAAGATCGCCGAGGTGGGCGCGGGGGGCTCCAAGAGCCGCCTGACGCTGTCCATGGCGGTGGCCGCCGAGTTCCGCGACTACCTGGGCGACTTCATCGAGCACTACGCGCAGCTGGGCCCCAGCAGCCCGGAGCAGGTGGCGGCGGCGGCGGCGGGCGCCGAGGACGGCGGCGGGCCGCGGCGCGCGCTCAAGAGCGAGTTCCTGGTGCGCGAGAACCGCAAGTACTACCTGGACCTCAAGGAGAACCAGCGCGGCCGCTTCCTGCGCATCCGCCAGACGGTCAACCGCGGCGGCGGCGGCCCCGGGCCCGGCGGCCTGCAGAGCGGCCAGACCATTGCGCTGCCCGCGCAGGGCCTCATCGAGTTCCGGGACGCGCTGGCGAAGCTCATCGACGACTACGGCGGCGACGACGACGAGCTGGCGGGGGGCCCGGGCGGCGGCGCGGGGGGCGCGGGCGGCGGCCTGTACGGCGAGCTCCCGGAAGGCACCTCCATCACCGTGGACTCCAAGCGCTTCTTCTTCGACGTGGGCTGCAACAAGTACGGCGTGTTTCTGCGCGTCAGTGAGGTGAAGCCGTCCTACCGCAACGCCATCACCGTCCCATTCAAGGCCTGGGGCAAGTTCGGGGGCGCCTTTTGCCGTTACGCGGACGAGATGAAAGAGATCCAGGAGCGGCAGAGGGATAAGCTGTACGAGCGGCGCGGCGGCGACGAGTCGGAGTGCGAGGAGGCGGACGAGGACTGAGGGCGCCGCTTCCCCGACGGGCCCGCCCCGCCTCCGTCCCCTTGCCTGGAGAGCCCCCTTCCTGCTCATCCCCAGGGAGCCAGTGGAGGCGGAGCGGGGAGGCCCCGTCGGGAGAACACAAAGCTAACAAGTAATACAGTTCATCAAGAGAAATAACCGCAAAAGAACAGTCGCAGACAATTCGAGAAAAGCAGCAAAGTTCCAAGGAACTGACAGCAGCCTGCAAAGAGGAGACAACCTGAGCAAAATCGTCTCTGTTTCCATAGTTTCCAGCTGGGGTTTGCGACCCCGCCAGGGTAGCCCTGCGGGGGGCCAGATCCTTGCGTGCCCGGGGGCCGCGGAGCACTGGAGTCCCCCCAGACGCGTCCATGACAGCTGCATGTGTGTTCTACCTGGGTGCCCTGGCCTGACGAGCTCTCCCGACCTCACTGTTGTGGGGTCGATCTCTTCACCTCCACTGAAATCACCATATTGGATCTAGGTCTTCGTGGGATTCTTGAGAAGAGAGAGGCCTTGGCCTTTGCCCAGTTCTGAGGGTACAGGTTTCGTGAAAAGGGGTGCGACTTTAAATAATCATGGACAGGGCAGAGTAAGAACTCAAGAAGCCACCGGGGAATATAGAAACAAACTGGGTCCGTTTTGTCTAAAATGGTTTTGTGTGGAACCTGGACCAGTGTCCGTGTCTCTTTGTGGCATTGTTTTCCTGGATGCAAATGGATTCAGATGTCAATCCTTCAACTAGAAGCTGTTACTAAAGGGTTTTGGAAGTTGGCCAAGTTTTTTTCAGAGCTAAGAGCCGTTTTACATTGGGGGTTGCTGAGGTAGGCACGGGAAGAAATCCGGCATCAAGCACAAGGAGGACTGTTTGAGTGGATTAGTTGCTGCTCACTAAAGTCCTTCCCCCGGTCGCTAGACACAGAGGTCATTACCAAGAGATGGCTTGGGGGTGAATGAGAGCCAGGTCCCTGTGGCTGTTCCGCCTGAGCTGGCTAATTCGGCTCTTTGGGCCACTGGTTGGCTGGATTTTCAACCGTTAAACTTGAAGATACCTACAAAAGGAACTGTGGCTACAAGCCTGAGCTTTAATGGAATATATGTCCTCACAGAAAAGTTGGAAATAACCAAAACTGAAGTCTTCACCTACCTTCAGTTCCGTCTGTGGATTTGTTCACATACTAAAGATCCTCAGGTCCAGAATTCCAGCATCATCTATTCTTTTAAAGTAAATTTTTAAGAACTCGATCCATTGTTTCAGTACCTCCCAATCAAAGTTGGCAAATGATGGATGAGTGATTGGAGCAGCGCGCCCTTTAGAAGCTGAAATCCATCGGCATGGAGATGAAGGGAACGTACAAATGCTGACTATGTCCTGGAAGCATTTTTATACCATCTTGAAATTTCAACAAACTGGCTTTCGCCAGTTTATCCAGCTGTTTTTCAAGAATAAAAGTTGGGGTTTTCAAGGATCGCCTCTTCTATATTTTAAATGGATTTTCAGTAGAAATGATTTTTACTAATCAAGTTAATCCCACCCCATCACCAAGGTATTCCTAGAAGTGTCACAGACCTAGGCGACTTTGAATTGAACGGGAGCTAACGTTCTTTCCAAAGTTTGTAGGTATTCTTTGTGCGACACCTTCTCAACCAGGAGGCAAGTAACCCCACCTCCACAATCTTAGTTTTGTGTTTTTGTTTTTTTTAACTGCATGCCTGCCCTTTATCTGAGCTGCCATTTAATTTATTGCATACCCTTTTATTATCTGAGTTTGGTATTATTCAATCTATACAATCTTTTTGTATTTATTGGGAAATAAGTAATCTACAAAAAGGTCATCTTCATGCATCGTGGCTGAGAGGGAGGGAAAGAACTGTACATAAAATTAGGCTTTTTTTTAAAAAAAATAGACTATGATTCAGAATACTGTTGATCTTAGGTTTTTAAAAAAAAAAAAAAGTGGAAGAGCCACAAACTGGTGCCCTTTTCAGACTATTTCTCTACTCTCATCCTCCACAGTAGACTTTTTAAACAGATTTTTTTTAAAGCTTTTCCTTTTTTTAAAAGACTTTCTCCGTCGCAAAGAATGTTTCCTAAATTGTATGGGAGCAATAGTATTTTTGATGTTTTAATGACATCCGTATATACTCGTACTGTATTTTGTACCACAAGGCAGCTGTTTTCAATAATGTCCTGCTGTATTGACCTATGTGTTTTGAGTGTTGATTTCTTTGCTGCGGAGAACAAAAAATCCCTACACCGTTTTAGTAAGGGCGCTAGTGTTAGGTTTGCAGAAACTGTTTCAGTTTCAACTTTGAGGCAGCAATGAAAATTCAGGTTGCAGCTCTCAGTTAACTGCTGTGACTTGTTCATTTTCACACCGTGTACAATTCCTGTTTAGACCAACTTGTTTTCTTGCTTCAGTGGTGGTTCTGTTGCTCAGCTGCACTGAGCCAGTTCAATTTTGCAGAGGTGCAGTACCTCCCCTTTGGAAGGGGCTGGTGTATTTTTTCTTTTCTTTTTGTTTGGCTAAATTGCAGTAACTAGCCTTGCCTTTCTATTCTGTAGAAATGACAGGGTCTTCACAATCCTTCACCAGTGGCTACTAAGCTATAATTAGCTGAATAGAAAGAATGTGGAAGTGGTCTGAGGCATATAGAGTATATGCCAGGAACACTACCATATATGGCATCAGCTTTGGTTACCAGAGAAATTTTCTTAGTCATTAGACCATATAACAGTAATATATCATATGTAAATCTTTAGATATCAATTTGAGAATCCTCCAAAAAAAGGAGCAAAGAATGCATAAGCTATGTGTTGGAAAAAGTAATTTATATTAAAATTTTGACCTGCCTATGTAAGAATAAGTGGTAAACGTCATAGTGGTGGGTTTTTAAGTCTTAACCAATCTCAAAGGTTTGTTTCTCCTGCAGGGGGTGGTTCACAGTCTCTCTTCTCACTGCAGGAAGATTACAGAAGGGTGTGGATTAGTTGTAGCATTTCACTGACCCTCATTCAACTCACTGTTCTGGGGCAATAGAAATCCGCGGAGCACAGAGACTGCTCTTTTGATGTGTGGCCTGTTACCAAGGCCGGATTTCAGAACTCGTTCAGAAACAGCGCTTAGCAAAGAAAATCTGTTAATTCCACTCAGAAAATGGCATTACAGACTCTGGGAAACAACCAGATTTTATTTGTTCTGGTTTTCATCCTCTACTACGAACAGTGATTTAGGGCTTGTCCTTTCACCTTGGCAAACATCCCAGCTAATCACATGTTCAAAACAGTCCAATTTCTAAGAAATGGGGAACGAAAATTCCTTTTGCGACCAGTGGTAGAGTGTTTCTCAAGCCAGTGCCGTTCTGGACCCAAGAAGTCCAGTCGCAGGAACAGAATCAAAAGAGCAAAACTCTGTGGTGAGATCCCGCCATTGCTTCGTGGTTTCTCTTGTCCCCACTCTGGTTCGAGTCGCGGGGCAGTTCTAGTCCGCGGAGAAAGCCTTCAGTGCATATGCTGCACAGAGCGCCACGTGAATCTATATGGCACCCAAAACTCAAAGTGGAAACCCAATGGGAAATGCAGACACCCTGAGCTGCCGTGGGAGGCATGGAGTCGGTCAGAAGGGCTGTGGCCGTGGCGCATACACGGCCACTTGTCAGGTCACTTTCCACAATGGTTTGCTGCCGGCCAGTGGGGAGGCTGCGGGGGCTGTGGGAGGGGGGCGGGGGGCAGCCCGGCCCCTCCTGCTCCCTCCGGCCCCTCCCTCGCCTGGCAGTAAATTGCAGGTCTTTTAAAGAGACGCAAGCTTCAGTTTTCTCAAAACAAAACAGTTATCCTGTCTTATCTGAAAAATGCAGGGTTGTGGGCAGAAGAGGCTGGTTATAATAATGCCCTCATATTGAGTGGTCTGAAAACGGCTGCACACTTCAGGCGCATAGTTGCTGAGGATGCTTTGTTCCGTGTGACCTTGACCGGCTCTACTGGAGGGTAGAGTGACCTGCACAAGGTATCGAGACGTAACTATTGCTTGGCGTCCGCCTTGCTCTGGAGGCGGATGGCCTTAGGGAGAAGCTTGAGTGTGTCAGCCATGCACATAAGTATTCTTCACTGTAAATTTTGTTTTCATTTTTAACCCAGTTACGGTACTTTGTCCAATGCACAACTGATCTCTCAGTAGATATTCATTTACAAATAGCGTGGCCTTGATCAGTGTGAGGGAAGGAGGGAAGTGACCTCGCGGGTGCGAAGGTGACTCACCGAGAGGCCTTGTGCACGCCACTCTTCGTGTCCGATGCGCGTGTGGCCCGGCTCCTTTCCGCCTGGGGAAAGTTCATGGTTTTGACCCTGGAGTTACCAATTCAATTGAGTTGTCTTCTGTTTTTAGGAAGGATCAGAATTGCTCTGATAAGTAACAAAGTTGACTGCTTTGGTGTCCAATCTCAGGTTTTAGAATAGAGTGGTGTAAAATCCCACTGTTAACTCTTAAAACAATTTTAATGTAATACACCCTAAAAGTCACATGCATGAGGCCTGTTCAGAGAGCAGAGCCTCCCATCGTTTTCCTCCTTTTCCACTTTGTACTTCACTTGAGAAAGTGTCGAGTGATCTTACATTGTATATTTCCATTTGAACCGCGACATATTTCTCAAAGATAAAGCACTTTTTTGATAATGAAATTCATGGGATCTTCGTGTGATGTGGATCATGGTTTCTCAGGCTCCCTTAGATAATCTGCTTACAAATACTGTTCTGTGTAAGAAGAGTGAAAATCTTTGCTAATGTTAGGAAGTTTGTATTATTGATCCAGAATGCGTTTTGCTAGCTTCCAATCGATGGGAGAGTAAACAATGCTGCATTCACAATTTAATAAGTTACTTTCCCTTAAGCCTTAAGGTAACTTTTTTTTTTTCCTGTCAACAACAGCACTGAAGTTAGAGTAAGTGAATGAGATTATCAGTTTTCAGGGTTGGTTTTAGAGTACTGTAAATCCATGAGCTGTCTTCCTGAACAGTTACTATCCCCCTTGAATAAACTGGATAGTGGGTGCGTGGGTGGGCTGGGGGGGTAGCTTGTAGGAAAGAGAAAAGAAAGAAAACCACATTTACCTTAAGAAAAATACACAAAATTTAAAAGTGCATGTCGGCGCCCCATTTTTGAAATTGCAGATAGAGGGTGGAAATGGCAAACTAGAACCTCATTTGCCCAGTTTCTAAATCTAGGAAAGCAAAGTCATTGATTTTCAAATCCCCCCCCCCCCCAAAGTTTCAAGAGCTCACACTCAGGGGCGGTGAGTTCATTTATCCCAGTTCCTGAGTTAAAGTCACTATTCCCAGCCCTTGGTCTTAAAACGTAGTTTCATTACTGATGGATTCAACAGACCCTTCTTACGATAAATGTGGTCCAGTTGTGTCAGGATGAAAATCCGATTTGGAAAATGAAAAAATTATAAAGGTGTATCATGAAGATTTATTACTCTGGCAAGTTCCAGGTGATACCTGTTCCCCTTGATCCAAGTAAGACTTTGATGAATGTATTCTGTATTCCCTGAGGAAACAGGGAATATGCCGTCAGTGTGATGACCCTTGTTCACCATCTTTTCCATTTCATTTGCAAATCTGACTCCTGCCTCTCGAGTTAGACGTGTGGCCCGGTCCCGGTAAAGCACCGCAGACACTGTGTGGGTAGTTTCCCTGCTCCGAGGGGGCCCCTCATCACAGGGGGGCACAGCTTTGTTTGAAGCCAAGATGTTGTTTTCCCCCATAGGTGATTCTAACAGACGCTCTGATGAAGGAGCATGACCGTACTTTTGACTAGCATGAGGTCGTGAGTCTCGGAGCAAATCGCGAGTGCCCTGTGTGTGAGATGTCCAGCAACACAGATAAGACAGGGTCCGTTGTGTCTATAGGGTGGTGACCTGTGGGGCCGTCCTGCTGAGGAAAGCGGTAGAGCCCTTCACGTTGCCAGTAAGTCCACCAGCAGACTTTTCATCCTGGGTCTTACCCGCCGTCCAGGCTTGTTCAAAAAAACCTGGTTGGAAACGGAATGGCCAGGAGGATATTCCCTCCCTTTTTAATTCCCCTTTTCAGGGAGATACAACTGCAGGGAGAGGCCCAAGAAAATCGCAGGACAGGGTTCTCCCACAAAGCACATCCATGTTGTAGGGATTGGGGGTTCCGCTGTTCGTCGCTCCAATACGAGGCAGAAATCTGCAAGGCACCTCCGCACACAAAAGCTCTCTGGATTCCTAGAAGTTCATAGATGGAACAAAAGTCCAAGCACAGGGCATACTTCTAGAGCCTAGTTTTACCTGTTGTGGCAGCAGGAGAGTGTATGGGAGGTCTTTCTCAATGATCATCAATATTTGAATGATAACTAAGATCGGTGTATTGGAACAATTAGTGGGGATTTATTCTTCCTTTTGCTCCTTCGTGCAAATGTTTTCCCGGGATCATTCCTCAGAGTCCATTTGTCTTCTGATAACGTTTCCAGACAGCAAACCTTCCATCCTGTAGGAACCCTCACTGCTGGTCATAATCAGCAGGGGCTTCCTTAGACTAGACAGTTCACTCCAAAGTTGGGACTGATGTCCTGCCTGTGGAGACTCGGCAGAAGTCATTTAAAATGATTTTAAACCAAATCTTGATGGCAGGAGACCGAGCTTCCTGATCTAGAGGGACAACTAGGTACTTAAAAAGGGGTTTGGGGGTGTCTTCAGTCTCTGTGTAAATACCCACATGCTTGTGCATTGTAAACCAAGTGTGTATTCCTGTGTATGAATTTGTAGAACTGGTTTCTGCTTCAAGAGAAGCTGCACCTTTAATTTTATAAGGTCCCCTCCACCTGTAACCCTATAAATATTTGTAAATAGAACACTAAAATTTGTAGCGATAGGATCAACTTGGGAATATCTGCTGAGAGACCAAAAAGTTCATTTTTTTAAGTACCTTGGTTAAAGAGTAAAGATTATTCCTCTTATTTTTTAAAAGAAGAATGCACTTTAACAGCTGCATGGGCGATTCAAACGAGCCCGTGAGGTGCAGTGCCGTTCAGAAATCACACTTCCTGGAAACCGTTCAGAAGCAGAGTGTAGACGGGCTGTTGTGCTCACGGCCTGGAGGTGGGAGCTCGGGTGCCAGTCGGCGTGGACGCGAGCAAGGCTGCCACGTGGGCACCTCCCGAAGCTTCCGACAGGCCTGTGACAGGCGGGTCCCGTGTTGACCACTAACTAGCAAAACTGACAGAAACACAGAGACAAAAGTTGAAGAATCCTTACTGCTGGTGTGCACTCCTTACAATAGCAGATTTTGCAAATGGAGTTTTACAGTCTATATTTAAAAATTGTATGTTTGTAACAAATAAAGTATGCGGAAAAGTGAATGACAACCGTGTGCTGGCGTCTCTGATTTCAGAAACCAGGTGGTGACGGGGAGGGAAGGACCACTCAGCGAGCTGGACTCAGGTGGGTCTGGAACGGGGCGAGTTCCCTCCTGGAAGGACCCAGAAGCCGTCTCGGCTCTCATGGTGACAATAGGGGCGATAGCCTGCGAGTCCCGGAGCCCTCAGGGGTGCAAGGCCCTTTGCGGTTCGTAAGCATCCGGAGGAAGTTGGGGTTGCACGTTAGTTTGCTGCTGCGGCCCATGTCCCAGACAGGCCACTTGTCGCTTTTGTTCCTGGCCGCCTGGCTGGTAGGCCCCGACCTTCCCAGTGGTGGCGAGAACCTGCTCCCCCTCGACTGTCACAGGTGGTCACCCAGGGAGTGGGTTAGGCCAGCGCTCCCCGCCCTTGAAGGAAAAAACTCTTGCATCCTAGATCCCAGTGGGGGTTCCCAAACCTTTTGGCCTCAGAAACCCCTTTACACCTACCTAAGTCAGCCCCCCACCCCCTGCAAGGAGCTTGTATCTTTCAGGCCAGTATCAACTGATACCTAGCATATTAGACATTTAATTAATTTATTTATTTGAGAGAGAGAGAGAGAGCACGAGAGGGGGGAGGGTCTGAGGGAGAAGCAGACTCCCCGCTGAGCAGGGAGCCCGATGCGGGACTCGATCCCAGGACTCCAGGATCATGACCTGAGCCGAAGGCAGTCGATCAACCGACTGAGCCACCCAGGCGCCCCTAGACATTTAATTTTAAGACAAAATTAAAAGTACACACCCTGTGGGCTACAGCCACGGAGCCTCTGGAGAAGGCGAGCTGGTGAGAAGGAGGTGAGGGGCGGGCACCGCTGTGGCCCGGGAGTGGTCCTGACTCAGGGACCCCAGTGGCCCTCTTGCTGAAGGTGGGGGATGGGCTGGAGACTCGCACAGCTATCACCCCCTGGCGCCGCGGCGTTCTCCGGCGGAGTTAGAGGCTCTTGCTATGGAATAGCCCCTCCGCGCCCACCCCCATGGTGTCCCTGGGACTCATGTCCCTGGCGCTGGCCCTCACTGCAGACCCCCTTGGGGAGCCCCAGGCCTCCCGCACCGGAGTCTTTGAGACACGGACATGGGGTGTCCTGTGTGCTTTGTTCTCTACCTTTTTAAGCTCCCCAGTGGTCCTCCTGAGTCGGGGATGTGAACCGGCGGCCTGCGGGATCTCAGGGAACCAAGAGAAAGGGTGCTGGGAATCTCTGCTGCAGGAAAACTTAATCCGGATGGCACAGCAGTCCCCGGACTGGCTTTACCCCGCGACCGCTCTGCCTCAGCTGCCCGCACGTTCACCCACCCGGGAACGGGACAGCTCCTCAGGGGGGTCTGCAGGGGGCAGCCCTCACCGGGAAGGCTGGGGGTCCTGCTCGCTCCCAAGGTGGGGCCTGGGACGCTGCACCCCTGGCGAGCTCCCAAGGGCAGCAGCAGGTGCAGGGACAGGACCGCGCTGTGACCGGCAGGGAGAACAGTGGGCCTTTCAGGTGCCATGAGCTAGCTTCTGTCCCTGGCTCTGTCACACACTAGCAGAGTATGGCTCTGGGCGAGTATGTAACACAAAAAAACTTGGGGTCCCCACCGGTCTGGCGTCCGGAGAAGCCACCTGGTGGCCGCTACTGGAATCTGTAGCGGACTGTGGCCGGTCACTGGTCGTGGCGAGCCCCTACGTGCAGGCGCGCCCCGGCTGCAGAAGACGAGGTCCCGGTTGCAGTGAAAACAGTGGGGAGCTTTTGGGGAGAACGGGGCGGGGTGGAGGGAAGCCGAGTCCCGCTCCCAGGTCCCTGGAGGGCAGGACAGGCTGCAGCCAGCGCATCTCCCTCCTCAGGGACAGCCTGTGCGTGGTCTCAGATTCCCAGACGCGCCTCCGCAGACTCCCGGTGGGGGCCGGGGGCCCAGCGTGGGCGGCAGAGGTGGGAAGCAGCGGGGAGCCGCGCCCGGGGCCCTGGGAGGTGCTCCAGCGCACCTGCGGGGGGAGGGGTAGGACTCCACGGGATGCGCCAGGAACCTCTGCTCTCCGCCCCGGCGCGCTCTGCCCGCCACCGAGAGAGGCGTCTGAGGGGCTCCTCTGGGGCCCGACTGATCCAGTCGCCACAGCTGGGAAGCAGGCATCAGCCCAAGCCATCAAGATGGGCCCGGGCCTTCACTCCTTGCCGGAGACAGCACCACTGACGCCGGAAGATAGTCCCCACGCCGGAGGTGACCGCGGCACTCTGTGTAGACCTCGGGACCCCAGTTCAGGCCTCCCAGCTCATTAGTGGTGGGGAGTGAGCACACATCTAAGCCAGTTCTCTGCGCTGCTACCCCATTCCCATGCTGGGAGCCCTGGGTGCCCCCACAAAGGTCTGCGGGACCTCTTAGGGTCCCTACAGGGAAGCAGCTGACCAGAAACTGTGGGTGCCACTCATCAACGTCCTCAGGGTATGGTGTCTGAGAACAAAATTAAAACAGGTCCCCAAAGTTAAAAAGAAAACTGTGCTGATTGGGTTCATCCGTATCAGTGACCCAGAAAGAAAGTGCTACAGTCTTGCATCAGAGTGAGCCCAACTCAATTGTAAGCACCACCAGCTCGCTCTAGACCTTAAAATCATGGTTTCCCTCCCAGAACACAAATGGTTCCAAAGTCACATTGCAGGAGTGGATTGGAGCCGAACAGGTACTTCATATGAAGCCAGTGGGAAGAGCAAGTGGAGCTGAAAATGGCCCCTTTTATGCTATTTTATCTTTTTTCCCATCCTAGGTGTCAAACCAGGAAACAGCCAAGTGAATAAACAAGAACAGGCAGTGGTCCCTTGCTCAAGTGCACCGCAGGCTTCCCAGGGCTGGACCACAGGCCAGAAGCTGGGGGTGTGGACTGAAGCCGCGGCCGGGGGCCTGGCTCAGGCACAGCCTTGCTCAGGCTTCCCTGACTTCTCCCTCCCCAGGCTCTGCCAGGAAGCCCTCCTAGACTGTCCCACCCTCAAAATCGTCCCGTCCTTTGCTCATTTATTCAGCACCCCCCATAACCGGTGGGCATCTTTTTGGCAATTAAAATCTCCAGGGGCGCCTGGGTGGCTCAGTCAGTGAAGCGTCTGCCTTCGGCTCAGGTCATGATCCCGGGGTCCTGGGATCGAGTCCCGCATCGGGCTCCCTGCTCAGCGGGGAGTCGGCTTCTCCCTCTCCCTCTGCCTCTCCCCCTGCTTGTGCTCTTAAAAAATAATAATAAATAAATAAAATAAAATAGAGAGACAAAAATGAATGTTCTCTCTTTCTCCAAACCCACTCCTTAAAGGTAACTATTGGTAAACAATTCAGCATGTGTCCTTTTGAAAAATGTTGATAATTTCTTAAAATCTCAGCAGTGTTAAGCGCCCATCACATTTATGTATGGTGTTTTTTTAGACTATTTATTTATTTATTGGAGAGAGAGGGCACAAGCAGGGGAAGGGGCAGAGGAAGAAGCAGACGCCCCACTAAGCAAGCAGCCCGATGCGGGGCTCGATCCCAGGACCCTGGGATCATGACCTGAGCCGAAGGCAGATGCTTAACCGACTGAGCCACCCAGGCGCCCCTGAAGGTATTGATACATATCGAAAACATGTGGTATTAGTTCACCAGGTGAAATGACGCAGAACCCTCGGTAGGTACATTAATGGCTATCCCTTGTGTGTTACTCTGGGCCACAAAGCCACCTCTGATGCAGAAACTGAATCGAAAAGCAACCTATTTTTTCGGGCGCCTGGGTGGCTCAGTTGGTTAAGCGACTGCCTTCAGCTCAGGTCATGATCCTGGAGCCCCGCGATCGAGTCCCACATCGCGCTTCCTGCTCGGCGGGGAGTCTGCTTCTCCCTCTGACCGTCTTCCCTCTCGTGCTTTCTATCTCTCATTCTCTCTCTCTCTCAAATAAATAAATAAAATCTTTAAAAAGAAAAGAAAAGCAACCTATTTTTTCATGATTTTAGGTTCCATTGAGTCAGGCATGGGCACATCTGTCTTCCCTAGTGGCAAAACAAAAACTTTTGAGCCCCTGGAGTTGAGAGAAAAGTGTCTTTATTTTGTGAGCTCTGAGGAATGGAGCAATTGTTTGCTGGTTGCGTTTCCGATCGACTTTGTGTGTATTTTAGGCAAACAACTGGCATTCACAAGTAAGAAGTTGTGAAATGGAGTGATGCTCACCTGCGTGCAGGCATCCAGCGGCCCTGCGCTTCGTGTCATGAGACTATTGTGCAGTTTAGGAACAAGAAAACTTGTTCCTTCTTTTCTTTCTTTTTCTTTTTCTTTATTCTGTGACCTACAGTGAGTGTTTCCCGACCGTACCTGCATCTAGCTGCTTCTGACCTTGAAGCTTTGGCTTAGAATTCAGAGAAAGCCTTTATGAATATGCACATCGTGTCCCCAGTAATGCCTAGTTCAGAACATGAAGGCAGCCTCAAGTATAAATAATGCAAGAAGAGAAAGCATGTTTGGTTCTCAGGAAGAATGGCAGAAAACAGTGGCGGGGTGGGGGGGGGAGGAGAGTTGCTGTTAGCAGTGTGGAATGTTCGAGGGCAGCAGCTGCTGTTTCCTGGCTGTGAAAACCCAGCTGGGGATGTCACTCAGGCAAGTGACTCATCGAGACAGGGAGGTCTCATTTGTTGGCTCAGCTAACACCACGCCTTTCCTGGGGAGGCTGCGAGCTTGCTTTGGATACACCTGCTGACCTCTTCCAGACCCCTGGCAGCTGATGGTTTTCTGTTCTGTGGATGGGACTTGGGGTAAAACAAGTCTGGGGGGACGCATTCTAGAGCAGGGCTGGGGACACAGGCAGGGGTTATTAAGCCCACAGTCGGCTTGGCTGAGCACCTGCCAAGCCCACAAACCGGGTCCTCCCAGGACTCAGCGAGCAGGACTTGACATGTTTTCACTTTGCAGCAAGGAGCATGGTTCCCCTTCGCGCAGAGGGTACTCCCCCACTGTTAAATCTCAATGCATATGAAAGATGTTTGCCAAAGGACACGTTCC